CTTGAATATGAATGTTAATCATTAGAGGATTTGATGGGTCGACGGATTGGTCCGCCGAAAGCGACGGCGCGGCGGTGGTCCGTCTTCCTCGAACAGTCAAACTGTACAGACTGGCAAATGTGAAATGGCGAGTGACAACGGCATCTTCTCTCCCTGTAACGTCAACTCCTATGTGCACTCTTTCCTAGCAATCATTCAACCACAAACTATCTCAATTCATGTATGTCTTTAAAGAAAAAATTTAAATAAAAGATATTATCCTCTTTTGAAAGTTGTTGAATTATGTCTTTTATTTTTTATACTCTTTTTTTATGTGTCATTTGACACAAAAATATCTTATTTCTAATTAAACAATTTTCTTAAGAATTAGATTTTAAAAATACGATTATTAAACAATTTTAAAATATATTTAATTATCCCTTTATTTCCATATTAATATCTCACAAAGTTTTATTCTTATTGTTGGTTTAAATCAGATATTCTAAAAATATAATATACTCTTTTAAAAGTAACTTTAATTAATTTTTTTAAATATTAAATAAATCACTTATTAAGATCATTGTACCAATAATAACATTGACAATAATCATACGTAGTATACAATTTTTGACGATAGTAAAATTATAATATTAACAATAACAATAATAATTATTATTATAGTAAATTTATTAATAATAATAATAAATTAAGACAATAACGGTGCCTATTAAATAATTTCATGTGACGATAGAATTAAAAATTAATAATAGTTTTACCTTTGAAATTTTATGAAGTGTGTTTAATTATGTTGAAAATGATGTACCACACCTTTATTAATTTTAACTTTTAAATTAAGTAAAATATACACTCTCTTTCTCGTTTATTCCGAAAATTATACTCTCTTCTTATAGAAAGGTTAATATGCAATACACTTTAGTTTTATTTAAATGAGTTTGTTAATGGTGATATGAACAATTATGAATTATTTTAATTTTTTTCTTCTCTTCAACTTTTAAGATAATTGAAAACTAATTTCAAATATTGCATTATCAAAATTTGGATTTTAATATATGAAATGATATTTTGAATGTTCATATTATCATGTTTGAAAATTATTTCATCTTCTGAAATTTCAAAGCTCATTAAAGATTCAAAGTTAGTTATGATAATACTGAAGTTCTTCGTAAAAAGAGAAATTAAATAATAATAATAATAAATAAATAAATAAATAAATTTTACTGTTGTGAAGCAACTCCATGTTGATTGGTTGGAAGCAAATAAAATGATGCATAATTAAGTGGATCATTTGCAAAAAAATGTCAAGATATTTTTTTAAAATAAGAAAATTTTAAAATTAAGACTAATTTTTAAGCATTTAAAATCAGTGAGACTATTTTTGAAAAACTAAGTACTTATTATATTAAAAATATAAAATATAATAAATATTTTATTGTAAGATAAATGTTTTTTTTGGGTAAATTAGAGAGGATACTTAAAAAAATTATTAAGAGTTTTGTTAACTTTAATTTTTAAAATTGAGTTTAAGTATCTATAAATATAATTTTTAAAAAGAATATATATACAGTTATTGTATTGAAGTTATAAAAATATAATAAATACTTCTCTTTCTAATAAAATTTTACTATTATTAACTTTTTATTTATAAAATATAATTATTAATATTCTATAATAATAGAACTAGACAATACAATGAGTTAAGTGAATCAATTTGACAGGTCGAACTTATTTTTTCAACCTAAACAATTATAATTAAAAAAGAAACTACTAGTTAAAATAAGACTTAGACCATATTCTGTAAAAGCATTTGCAACTCCATTTCCTTCATCAAGCGTGCATGACCAACCTAGCACAAGGATGCAGTAGTCGTATATAAAATAAAATTCAATATCATATTAGAACTCAAATTATAGAAAAACGTGAAATAAAAAAACACTAGCAAGAAAAATGAAATTCCAGCTACAAAAAGATGACAAAGCAAAATAAAGTAAAATAAAATAACTAAGTAAATAAAGTGTGATCATGTGGGCTTTAAAAATTTAAGGGGAAAAAAAAAAGTACAAGTCTCGACAATAAACGAAAGCCAGTTGAGTGCAGAGGAACTTTAATTTTTTCACACACTCTTAGACATTATTAACATATAAAATTTAATATTTACATTAAAATAGATAAAATTGTGGCGCGTATTAATCTCTTAAAGGAAGGAAGTGCAGTTTTTTACATAAAAAAGAAATGTAATGTAATATTTAAGCATATTTTAAACAACGAAAGTATATATATATTTTAATTTAATGGTAGAATGTTGTTTGGGAGGAATGAAAATTTTACAAATTAATGATTGGTACTCAAGGTAAAGTTCTTAGTTTGTTGGAAGTGTTTTTAGCTATTTTAGTTGAAAAATGCATTTGTTTATAGTCTAAATACGTATTTTGACTAAAATCTTTGTCATAGCACGATTTTTGTAAGGCTTTCTCGTCTTTTGATAAGATTTAAAAAATAATAATGGTTAAAAAAGTATTAATTTTTAACTAATAAAAAACTTATTTTTAACAAGTTTTCATAAAAATATGAAAGTTAAAAAAAACATGAAGTTTTAGTTGAAATAGAGGAACATAGAATTTGTTTGAAATGAAAAGATGTTTTTTATTAGCTTTTACAAAAAAGGTTGTAATTAGATAAATATGGTTTTTAGTCTAAATACATTTCGAAAAATATTTAACAAATTCATAAATAATTTATGGAGTTGCAAATGTTAAAGAATGTCAAAAGTTAGCTGAAAGAAATATTTTTTTGAAAGGCTTTTCAAAAGATATTGTCTTTATTTATTAAGTAAAAAATTAGTCAAAGATATTCTGTCAAAGAACTTGATCAAGTTGTTTTTAAATATTTCAAGTGATAAAAACATAAAAAAATGGTGAATTTAGACTGAAAGTTCAAGTACATTGGAATAGCAAAGATTATAAACAACATGCAAGAGTAGTTACAAGAACGTAATTTGAACAGTTGTATTTTAGATTAATATATTTTAAGTAGTTATCGGATATTGTATCTATAAATATTTCATTTCATAATTTAGGAATTACAACTTTTACACATATTTGTATTCAAAATTTTTACTTTAATTTTTATTGTTTTACTTTTATAATTATTCTGCAATTTTTCATCTCTTACTTTTTTTCATTTTTATTTTATGCTTTTTTTGTCACATTAATTAGTTAGTTCAATTAAAAACACACTATAATTTTTTTTTTTAAAAAAGCTTTAAAATTTAATCTTACATTATTTTTTAATTTATTTATTTATTTATTAAAAAATTTACTATAAACAAATGTATATGAACTTGAACGTAGATTGAATTGAGTAGATATGAAAAGTTTAAAAAATTTACGATATACATAAAGTGTGTTTAGTAGGAAAAATGTTCATTATTTTGTTTTTCATTAAAAATTATAAAATACTCTGTTCACTTTTTCGATATAGAATTTTGAAACAACGTAAAAAAAATATTTTTATGATTATATAAAAATAAAATAAAAACACTTTCTCACTTGAACTTTCCTAGATCATCATGTCTAAAGATTACCTATCACGTTAAACAAATAAAGTACTTGTTATAGTATCAGCCAAAATGCATTTAATTTCTGGCCAGTTTTTCTTAAAAAAAGAAGAAGTAGAAATCGAGTTTTATATCTTTCTATTTCCCCTTTAGTTTTTTTCCTTGTACGACACCTTGGATCTGAGCTAGCTGATTGATTAAAATTGATTAAATTAAACAGCACTTATATAGAAATATTTATGTGTAAACTATATAATCATATACATTGGATGCAATGCATCAAATATCAATGTTCACCTACCTTTGCTCTTTCCCAGCACATCACGAACACGACAAAATTCAGAAATGAGTATTGGGACCAGCTGAAAAATCTGGAATTTGGCCAAACATTTATAGTAAAGAAGCACCACCGATTACAGTTACAATGACAAGTACCTCATTTGATTTCCAAGTCAAATTAAGAGCCATGGCTTTTGCCAAAGTTGTTTCTAGGGCACACCATGGATGCATATATATATAGAATATGTGTAAAGAATGTTAAGTGATTTTTTATACATGAAACAATTAATATATTGGTCCTTTAATTTTTTTTATATGATTCTTTAATTTTTTTAACTTTATTTTTTATTTGGATTTATTTTTTTTATTTCATGTCAGTCTTATAATTTTATTTTCTTGCTTCAGCTTGAACTTATAATATTTCTTTTAGTTTGATCTTCTAATTGCATTTTAGATAATAGAACCAACATGAAAAAAAAAGTTAGAGGGATAAACTAAAATAGAAAATAAAGGTAGAAGATAAAAATGAAACATAAACAAAATTAGTAAGAGACTAAACTGAAATAATAAAAAAATGCTAGAGAAATAAAATTATATTTTTTTTCCTAAATATGATAGTATATTAATGGGTTGCAAATTAAGCAAATATAAATTAGTTTATTGATTTAGTTGTCTTCAATTACAATAAACAACTTTGTATAATTTGGTTCAAATTCAAGAGTTAAATTTGAGTTTACTTACAAATGTTCAATAGAAGTGAGTGATTTTGTGTTGAGACAACTAGAAAACTAATACTATGTAAGAAATTTTAAAACATTTTCTTAAAAAAATATTTAAACCCCTCTTAATACTCTTAAAAAGAGTACAAAATATGTAAGAAAGTAGATACAAACTTAAAATGCTTCCGAATTTAACAACAATACATAACTTTAATCTTTTTCTTCTTTTACAGATATAAATAATGTAAAATTTATTTTAAAATATTTTATTTCAACTAATTCCAAACACTTAAAGACATGGTCTAAGGCAATGATCTCCTACTTATAAATTTCGTTAGTAAATTAAAGGTAAATGGTTACAGTTTTTTTTTTTTTTGTCATATTTTGTTTTGTCTAAGCACAATTTCAATGTAAAAAATTTTATTTTATTTTATTTTATTTGGGATAGTCAGTCCAAAAGTCGATGTATAAATTTGGTACAAATTATTAGTATCAAGAACAGACATGGATTTGGATCAAGAATGGACAGAAATACGAATTATAGGCGAAAGAAAAGATACAATATTTTACCAATCATTATTAACTCTTGTTTTTCTTGCTCGATACTGGAATTTAGTGGTTGAATACACTGATTCTTCCCTATATTCGTTGAGTACTAGAGCTGCATGTATGATGTCCAAAGGTAAATTATTTTCTGTTTTATTGTCTGATCCAGTATTGTGTTTGTCATAAACTATTAAAATGATTAATTGGGTGCATAATATACATTAAGAGAGTGATTAGAAAAAAATATGAAGTGCTCATAAAAAAAATTTACTTTATTCGTCTAATTAAGTTATTTACTCAATTACATCCTAAATTTCACTTAAGTTGATTATGAGAAATTTGAATACCATGCATAGTCTTTTGAATATATGTACTCATTGTAGTAATAAAGATGTATTACACACATTAATTTGCTAATACTAATGTCAATGTTCAAACTATTGTTAACCCAGTGATCTATAAGGTGAGGTATGGCACCTCACAAATGATGTAGTTTCAATTTTGGTAATTTTTTTTAACTTACAAACTTATATTATTATGTAATTTTAAAGTATTACACCACTTTTTTATATAGATATGAAAATGTTTAATCATTGTATTAATATATGAATTATTGAATATTACAAATTTTATATGTTGACATCTTTATTCATGCCTATAATACCATGATCTAACGTAACTAAGGCAAATTGATTTGTCGTTTATTTAACCCACGGACACTTTGGGAAGCAAAGGTTGCAGTGGTAGACAAAATCATGGAAGATCCTTCAAATAACATTCCAAAAGGGTCAATTTAACTTAGCACTTTTAGATTATACCTAAAACATTTAACGAATATTGTTAAGGTTTTCAATAGGACAAGCCGTTACCTAGGGTAGATTAGTCACAGAAGAAATGCACCCTTCATGGTTTTGGCTCAAAGACACGCGTATATCTACAAATCCACTTCGGTATCTCCGCGATAAAGGGTTCGAGTTTAATGGCTTATGATTGTCGTTAAATGTAGTTTTCTATTGTGACAGATTTTGACACTTCACACGTGCAGCATTAACTGCAAGTTCTAGGAGCTAATCGGCATCGTCCAATCCTCCATTTCATAAAGTAATCAATCTCCACCGTCTATGTCTATTATTTTCAAATTAAACAATGTATTTCAAATTATTTTCAAACAACTGACAAGTCTAAAAAATATATCCCCTTAAAATTTGTACACAACATTTTGAAAAAAATATGAGTCACAGATCATACATTAAAATCATAAAAATGTGTCCCAGTGTGGAATATTGATTGTTAGAAAGCAAACAATTCTGTATATGGCCCTTTGACCACAATTTGCCGTTTATACCCCTAGCTAGGCCTATAAATATGCGGCTCTTCATGCCAGATTGCCATGCACAAAACAGAGTAAACCCACCTTCTAATTAAATAAGAATAGGAAGCACATAGCTAGCTCCATTGAAATTTGAAGAATGGAGGAAATGAAAAACAAGGCAACGGTGGAAGCACTCTACAAGGCACTGTTGGGACAGGGCCAAATGGAAATGGTGACAAACATGTTAGCAAGTGACCTTGAGTGGTGGTTCCATGGCCCCCCACAGTGCCACCACATGATGAGGGTGCTCACCGGAGAAATTGAACACAACAAGGGGTTCCGATTCGAGCCGAGGAGCGTCACCGCCATCGGAGAGTGTGTGATCACCGAGGGATGGGAAGGCCAGGCTTATTGGGTCCATGTTTGGACAGTGAAAAATGGTCTCATCACACAATTTAGAGAGTACTTCAACACATGGCTTGTGGTGAGAGATTTGAGGCCACCAGGGTGGCAAAGCAAACATGACAACATCACATTGTGGCAAAGCCAGCCTCGTGATCTCTATAGCCGCTCACTTCCTGGATTGGTATTAGCAATTTAGTTCTAAGAAAAATACTAGTAACGCACTCTCCAGTCAAATTTACTAAATCACATCGATCTTACGTTTTATTTAATGAATGTTATTATTATTTATTGAAACTTTCATGAACAATCTTAATGGGGTAAAAGTTTTCTGCAATATAACAAGGGACATAATTGAATCGATATCATGATATGTTGGGGTATCAATGCAATGCGGAAGACTTGATTAAATTTAATTGAAAATAAAGAGAAGGAAGAGAATAATGGAGACAAGATTTTAACATGAGAAAAACTCCAACTCGAAAAAAAAAATCTACAGACAACGACGAACAAAGTTATTCCACTATGTAAAAAGGAAAGTACAAGAAGTCCTCTAAAATTATGAGGACAGAGTAATAAATCACTCTATATTTCTCTCAATAAATACTCTCTCAAGTTGAATAAGAGCTACAAAAATAATACTCTCAATTTCTCTCCGATCCGTAAATTGATATACAAAAGATCATAATTTTGGTGTGTCTGTCATTCATTCCTACACTGGGTATTTATAGGCAAAATTTTGTAAAGTTTTTCAACAATTACTGTAGCAATTCGGTGCCTACCAAATGAAAAAATCAGTGCTTACAAAGATTAAAAAAAACAAAGTCGGTGCCTGCAAACGTTGACAAACTGAGCCACCTACTAACAATCTCCACCTTGGATCAGTTTTGATAAATTGCTCGACGTCGTTTAAACCCCGAAGGGCATTCAAGTGCTGTAGAGACCAACCAAGTCCAAGCAATGCTGGAACTTGGCCTTTGGAAGAGGCTTAGTAAGCATATAAGCTGGATTCTCAGATGTATGAATCTTCTGAACCACGACTTCACCCTTAGCAACAATTTCTCGGATAAAATGATGTCTCACATCAATATGTTTTGTCCTGTCATGGTAGCGGTTATGCTTGGTCAAGTAAATAGCACTCTGACTATCACAAAACACAGTAAGAACATCCTGTGTAAGACCAAGTTCATTAATCAAACCTTTAAGCCAAAGAGCCTCTTTCACACCCTCTGTTGCTGCAACATATTCAGCTTCAGTCATAGATAATGATGGAAGAGACTGAAGCTGAGCTTTCCAACTAATAGCACAGTTACAGAGAGTAAATATGTAACTAGAAAGAGATCTTCTTTTGTCAAGATCACCACCATTATCCGAATCAACAAAACCTGTAACTTCAGTTGTTGCATGATTTCTATCAAATACCAAGCCAATATCAGAAGTACCTTTGAGATACCAAAAAATCCATTTTACAACACTCCAATGATCCTTTCTAGGATTATGCATATACCGACTCACCATACTAACGGCATATGCTAAATCAGGTCTAGTGCATACCATAGCATACATAAGACTGCCAACAGCACTAGCATAAGGAACGCGTGACATACGCTCCATGTCTTCCTCTGTCTCAAGACAAATGTCAGATGATAACTTGAAATGTGTAGCAAGTGGAGTAGAAACAGATTTGCAATTAGACATATTAAACCTGTCAAGCACTTTCTCAACGTATTTTTGTTGAGATAGGAACAATTTACCAGCTTGACGATCCTTGCAAATCTCCATACCAAGAATCTTCTTAGCTGCACCCAATTCTTTCATCTCAAACTCATTATTGAGTTGAGTTTTCAATTTCTTGATCAGAGATTTGTCACGTGATGCAATCAACATATCATCAACATATAGTAACAAGTATATGTAAGATTCATCAGGAAGTTTTTGAAAATAAATACAGTCGTCATGTTGACTTCTGCAATAACCTTGCCCAATCATAAAGGAATCAAACCTTTTGTACCATTGTCTTGGAGCTTGTTTGAGTCCATATAAAGATTTCTTCAATCAGTAGACAAGATGCTCTTTACCAGGAACAATAAATCCCTCAGGTTGCTCCATATAAATTTTCTCTTCTAGCTCTCCATGTAGAAAAGCTGTCTTAACATCAAGTTGCTCCAATTCCAAGTCAAATAAAGCAACAAAAGCAAGCAAAACACGTATCGAGGTATGACAAACAATAGGTGAGAAAATCTCATTAAAGTCAATACCTTCCTTTTGGCTGAAGCCTTTAACAACCAATCGTGCCTTGCATCTAGGATCTTCAACCTCGGGAATGCCGTCTTTCTTCTTATAGACCCATTTGCATTTCAAAGGTCGTTTGCCTTTGGGAAGCTCTGTTAAACTCCAAGTACCATTCTTATGAAGACTTTCAATTTCTTCATTCATAACCACTAGCCATTTTGAAGAATCGGCACAAGAAACAACCTTAATATAACTGGTTGGTTCAATGTCATCATTTATTTCTTGTGCAACAGATAATACATATGCAATTAAATTATCATCACAAGCATAATTTGCATATCTAGCTGGCTTAGTAATCGTCCCTCTTGGTCTGTTTTGGGCAATGGAATACTTCTCTTCCTGCGGCTGAATTGGAGAAATGGTAATCTCATCAACATCATCATCACCACAAATATCAGTACTAGACTCATTGTTAGAAGAAGATGGAACATCAACATTAGGAGTTGTAGATTTCAACTCCAACTCCACCTTCTCGCTAGTACCCTGCAGATTATTAGTATTAGTAGAAGAAATCATAGAAGATTATTTTCCAGAAGATAATAAAGCATCCTCGTTAAAAGTCACATCTCTACTGAGAATTAATTTTTGTGACTTAGGATTCCATAAATGATATCCTTTAGATTCAGATACATAACCAAGAAATATGCACTTAATAGCTCTTGGAGCTAATTTGCCATCATTGACATGTGCATAAGCAGGACATCCAAAGATTCTCAAATTGGAATAATCAACAGGATTACCTGACCAAATTTCTTCTGGAATTTTGAAATTAAGTGACGAGTGTGGAGAACGATTAACCAAGTAACAAGCAGTTGATACTGCTTCAGCCCAAAATTCATGTCGATGCCATAACCTAGCATTTGAGAGCATACAACGAGCTCTCTCAAGTAGAGTCCTGTTCATTCGTTCTGCAACACCATTTTGCTGGGGTGTTCTTGGAATGGTTTTATGTCTAGCAATTCTATGATTTGCGCAGAACTCGATAAAGTCACCGTCACAGAACTCCAATCCATTATCCGCTCTGAGCTTCTTGACTTTTCTCCCTGTCTAGGTTTTAACAAGAGTTTTCCACTTTTTAAAAGTGGAGAATGTCTCATTTTTATACCTGAGAAAATAAACCCAAACTTTGCGGGAAAAATCATCAATAATAGTCATCATATAACGGCGTCCTCCATAAGAGGGAACTTTAGAAGGCCCCTAGAGGTGAGAATGAATATAATCAAGAATACCCTTTGTATGGTGAGTTGCAGTAAAGAAACTTACTTTTTTCTGTTTTCCAAAGACACAATGTTCATAAAACTCCAACTTACCGATACCTTGATTACCAAGAAGACCTTGCTTGCTCAAAAGATGTATGCCTTTTTCACTCATATGGGCTAGACGCATGTGCCATAATTTGGTGACCTCATTATCAAGCATAGAAGAAGATACAGCTGCTGAACCTGTCACAACAGAACCTTGCAAGAAATATAAAGTACCAACTCGGTTACCTTTCAACAAAATAAGAGCACCTTTTGATACCTTTAGGACTCCACCTTCAGATGAATACTTGCACCCAAGAGATTCCAGGGTGCCAAGAGAGATGAGATTCTGCTTTAATTCAGGAATAAAGAGAACATTAGTCAGAGTCCTGACAACACCATCATGAGCCTTGATCTGAATAGTACCTATTCCTTCAACTTTGCATTGGGTATCATTAGCCATCAAGACAATACCACCATTAACTGGTTCAAAAGTGGTAAATAGATCCCTATAAGCACACATGTGCTATGTGTATGTAGAGTTAAGAAGCCACTTATTTTTGCTTCTCTTGTCAGAAGAGACAACAGATGCCATAACATCTCCATCAGAATCAGTCTCAATATTAGCAGCTTCAACAGCTTGTTTATCTTTTTCTTTCTTTTGTTTATTTTCTTCTTTTTTCTTTAAGATAAAACAATCAGAAATGTCATGCCCATATTTTTTGCAATAACGATAGGTAGTGTTGGATTTTTGTCCCCTAGATTTGGATCTACTTTTTTTGTGACTACTACTCTCTTTGACTTGAGTTCTACCTCTAACACTTAGACCCTCACCCTTGTCCTCAGAATGAATTTCAAGATCAAATTTTTCTTTGGACAATAAATTAGATTTAACATCTTCAAAGGATAAGGTATCATTATTACCATACAACATAATTTCTTTGAAGTGTTTGTAGGTAGAAGGTAAAGAGACAATCAACAAAACAACTTTATCTTCATCATCGATTTTAATATCGATATTTTGCAGATCCATAATAATATAATTAAATTCATCAAGATGAGATTGAATGGGAGTACCTTCTATCATACGGAACGTATATAATCGCTCCTTGAGACGAAGCTTGTTAGCGAGGCTTTTAGTCATATACAAAGTTTCCAATCTTAACCACAATTCCGCAGCGGTGGTTACGTCTGCCACTTCACGTAGAACCTCCTTGGACAAGCAAAGTTGGATTGCTGAAAGCGCCTTTTCATCCAACTCATCCCATTGCTCATCGGTCATGGAAGCCGATTTTTTTAACTTTCCATCTAAAGCTTTCTTTAATCCGTTCTAAGTGAGAACGACTCTCATTTGGACTTTCCAAATAGAAAAGCTAATCTTGCCATCAAACTTCTCAATGTCAAATTTTGTAACGGTAGACATTTCCAATTAAATAACTGCTCTGATACCACTTGTTGGGGTATCAATGCAATACGGAAGACTAGATCGAATTTAATTGAAAATAAAGAGAAGGAAGAGAATAATGGAGACAAGATTTTAACGTGGGAAAAACTCTAAATCGGAGAAAAAAACCCATGGACGACGACGAACAAAGTTATTCCACTATGTAAAAGGGAGAGTACAAGAAGTTCTCTAAAATTATGAGGACAGAGTAATAAATCACTCTATTTTTCTCTCAATAAATACTCTCTCAAGTAGAATAAGAGTTACAAAAATAATACTCTCAATTTCTCTCCGATCCGTAAATTGATATACAAAAGATCATAATTTTGGTGTGTCTGTCATTCATTCCTACACTAGGTATTTATAGGAAAAATTTTGTAAAGTTTTTCAACAATTACTGTAGTAATTCAGTGCCTACCAAATGAAAAAATTAGTGCTTACAAAGATTAAAAAAAAAATAAAGTCGGTGCCTGCAAACATTGATAAACTGAGCCACCTACTAACATGATATGATAGAAATTTTTATTTCTGTCAAAATACACTCTTATTTGTATTTGTGGTATTTAAGGTTTGTATATATTCTCTTAAGTTAGAATAAACTACAAACTTGAATCCTAAGTTTTGACACTAGTTTTGAGGTAATTGGATAAGAAACTTGTTATATTCATGATTCGTTGTAAAAAAAAAATGCCAATTAGGGTGAAAAATGGTAAAAAGGATACATATTTGAAAGGCTATGTGAAATGTAAGGTTGGAGAGGACTGTTACTGATATGTCCAATTCATGTGCTATAGCCGGTGAAAATGAAACCAATGCAATCTAGAAAAGAAGGTAGACACAATGAGAAGAAATACGTGATAAAGAGTGCTATGTCCATGTGTATTTTCAAAATGAAATGGTGAGTGAGCTTTTGGCTTGTTCGTTACCAACTGCATAAGCAAGAATGTCTTAGCCCCCTCTCACGTGGCACATACTATGTTTCTAATTGAGCTTAATTGATAGTAGGTGCCATGCTATAAGACAATGACAAGGATGTCTTACCATCCCACAAGATATGATGTACATGTACTTAGATTATGGTATCTATGCAAACTTGGCCTGTATTGGAATCTACTACCATCAAGTAGGGTTAAACTGGGTTAGCTTACAAATTAAATGGGCCTATAAAATTATTGGTCCACGTTGGATTTATTCTTACTTGTACCGAAAAATCAATCTACATGTCAAATCATTAATTTGTAAGGCCAACTTAAAAAATATTAAAAGATACTGCCATTTAATTTGTAGATTATACGGATTGGCTCCGTAGACTTAGGTCAATATACCCAACTTTACATGTACTCTATTCCAATCCTTTTAAAATGAAATAGATAATTACACTAAAAAAATAAATTATAAAGAAATTTTCATTTGTAAAATATTAAAGAAAGGATTATTTATCTTTAAATTTTCATGAGTTAGTTAATATCAGCATATAGTTTGAGGTAGATAATTTTTTTTACTTCCTTAATTTATAAGCAAATTCACATTAAAGGGGTCTTCCATTAAACTAGTAACGAGAGATGTTTAAAGTTCCAACATTTTTCGATAACAATTAAAATTTTTATTAGTATAATAATCAATGCAATTATATATATATATATATATATATATATATAATACTTTTTTAATCATCCATTTTCCCATCAATGAATTAGGAAAATATTTTTACTAAAAAATTTATTAAGCTGATTTTATGAATTTTTATATATTAGAAAATAATACTTACAATTGTTATATAATAATATTATATTCTATTGACGGTCGTTATTATTGTTTCTAAGATAAAAGGTATCTTATACTTTTAATTTAGATATTCTTCTTTAGAGAGAGGGAGACAAATTTTTGTGTCCAACGGCGATGGCTACTTAAAATCAGCCTTTGACAAAACAAAAACCTATATCAGCCCAATGGCAGTATCATTGACGATAAATGAAGCCCATAAAACCATTTTGTTACAAGCGTCCCTTCTAGAGAAAATTAGTTGGGCCTAGTCACATTAATCAGAATGTTAGATGGTTTGGTAAGAATCCAATCAATAATTTCAATGGTTGACATAAAAAAAAGATCAATT